AAAATTTATACTCATTTCCTCCACTTTCTTTCTTTTTCTCTTTCAAACCCTCTGCATTCTGACTTCCAACCTCATTACTCAAGTGAAATTATCCTTTCCAACATCATCATTGATCTCTTCATTGCCCAATCCAATGACCTTTTCTCAATCTTTATCTTTCTTGACTTCTCTGCAGCATTTGACACTGCTGACCAACCTTTCTTCTTGGAACATTATCTCCTTCCTGTGTTTTTGTGATACAGCTATCTCTGGGTTTTCCTCCTTCTCTCTGACTGCTCTTTTTCAGTCTCCTTTGTCAGATCATCATAATAATAACTAGCATTTATATAATGCTTTAAGATTTGCAAAGTACTTTCAAATGTCATCTCATGTTCTCCTTTCAACAACCCTGGGAAGTTTGTGTTATTATTATCCTCATTTTATATATAAGGAAACTGAGGCAGACAGGTTAGGAGACTTTCAGTTATAAAGTTAGTAATTGTTTGAGTCAAGATCTGAACTCAGGTCTTCATGATTTCAGTAATCTATTGACACCTAGGTGCCTTTTTTCTTTGTCAGATCATCATTCATATCACGTTTCCCATCTGTGAGTCTACAGATTTTATCCTAGACTCTCCTCTCTTCCTTTCCATTCTCTTCTCTTCTTTCTCCTCTTTTCTCCTCTCTACAGTCTCTCTTGGTGACCTCATCAGTTTATATTGGTTTAATTATTTCCTATACGTCTCTCCTGAACTTCAACATCTTCAACTGTCCATTGGATATTTTAAACTGGATGTCCAACAAGCATCTCAAATTCATTATGTCTAAAGCAGAATTCATTAGCTTTCCCGCAAACCCACTACTCTTCTGAACTTCCCTGTTTCTGTGGAGGGCACCACCATCCTTCCTGTCACTCGTGTTTGCAGCCTCAACTCTCTATTCTCATCCCACTTATACAGTCAAGTGCATAATCTTGTTGTTTGTACCTCCAGAACATCTCTAGCATCTGTTTCTACACTTTTTCTACACATCTTCTCTACACTCACAGAACTAGTTCAGGCCATTATCACTCCTGATTACTCTATCAGCCCTATTGGTCTTAAGTCTCTTCCCACTCCAATCCATCCTTCACGTAGTTGCCTAAGTGCTTTTCCTAAAGTGAAGGCCTAACCATGTAATTTCCCTACTCAATCAACTCCTGTGATTCCCTATTACCTCTAGGATCAGCTGTAAACTCTTTGGTCATTTAAAGCCCTTCCCAACTTCATCCCAACATAACTTTCAACCCCTTTTACACATAACTCCCTTAATTAGCCTTAGTGTTCTTCGTCATACAAGATATTCTATTTCTTCTTTCCATGCCTTTATCCCCCTATCTCTCCCCACTCCCTCTTTCCTGGAATGTACTTCTTCCTAATCTCTGACTCTTAAGATTCCTAATTCTCTTCAAGTTCCATTTAAGTGCCCCCTTTTTTTCTACATGAAGTTTTTCCCTGACCTCCGATCCCTGCTAGGGCCTTATCCCACTATTTGTCCCCTTTATTTATTTTCATATATATTTATATAAGCACATATTGTCTACCTGGCTAGCTTGTAGACTCTTTGAGGTCAGAGACCATTTCCCTGTTCCTTGTCAAGTGCTTAGCAAAGTGCCAGCCATATAGTGGCTTAATAAAGTGTTTAATAAATATGTATTCCTTTCTTACTTCCTCAGTGCCTAGTATAGTTCCTGATACATAGTAGGTGCTTAAAATGCTTGCACAGTGATCAATTGATTGACCAATTGGAGCTGTCCATAAGTGGAATAGGCTGCTTCAGTAGATACTGTTTCCCATCTGTGGAAATCTTCTGTGGAGGCTGGATAATTGGTCCTTGGGAATGCTGTGCAGAGGATGTCATCTCATGGGGCCCTTCCAACTCTGAGATTCAGTGATTCTAAGTATAGTTCACACTCTTTTGCCCATAATTCAAGGACTTTTACAATCTGGCATCACCTTTCCAATAGTGTCCCATGTTGCTCACTCCTTTACATTTATGCTCCATTTGAGTCAAAATGGACCACTTGCTTTTGCCCATACTCACCCCACAATTACCCCATTTTGTGTCTTTGCTCGTGTTACCCCTGTCCTTAGAATAGCTTCCCCTCTACTTGCTGAAGGAGGCTAAGTAGCACAGTGGAAAGAACACGGGTTCTGGAGTGAGAAAACCTGAGTTCAAATTCTACCTCTGCTGCTTACTACATGTGTGACTTTGGTTGAACCACTTAACCTCTGTTTCCTCATGTGTAAAAAGAAAGGATTGGGCTAAATTGTCTACGAGGTCCTTTCCAAATCTCTATCTATGATCTCATTAATCTCTATTCATTGTTCAAAAGTGTAATTCAACTGCTTCCTTCTTCCAGAGACCTTCCTGATCTTCCCCCATTTGGGGGAACCCTTACCCATCAGACCTCACATGACTTTATTTGCTCTTATGAATTTATTTTATATTGTTTTATATTATAGTGATTTATTTCTATATAATATTTGCTTCTGAATTCTAACCTCCATGATGCCAGAGATAATGTCTTATCTTGCACAGGTCCAGTACATAAGAGATGATTAATAAATGTTTGTTAAATTGAATTGTGCTCAAACTGTTGAACTAGGAAGCAGGAAGAGTATGTAGAACTGGGGCTTCTGTGTATCCCATTAGAGGAAAAGGTTTACCTCAAGTCTGGTGTAGATGATAGAACTCAGTTCTCTGCTGCCTTCAGTGTAGGTTGTGGGATAGAAAATGAAGGAGCTCTTCATAGCCTTTCCCCAGACTACTTGCTTCATTCTACCCCCATTGCCCAGTCTTCATTCTAGTATGTGTCTCATCAACCCCTTCCCCAGCAGTGCTGCCAACACCCACCTTTCTTGGCAGCCAGCACTGCAGACTCAGCTATTCCCCACCACTAAAAGTGTTTAGAGATAAGCCAAGGGGAGACTAACTTACTGCCTAGGTGCTAGATGGTGCTATAGCCAAAGGTTGTATTGCATGCAGCAGTATCTGGAAGGTAACTTAAGATATGGAGGTGTCCATTCCTGCTGTCTTCCTCCTCCCCTTCCCTCCAGCATATCCATTTCATCTCTCTACCCCTTGCCAAAACAGCCTTCCTTCAGTGGCATATTCCCAGGCACAATCATGTTGCTATTCTGGATTAGTCAACCTGGAACTTTGCAGAACTGTGCCCTCAAAGTGCTGCTAGCAGACACCTGTTTGAGCTTGGTTGAGGACATAGACCTGAGACCTCTGGAGTTGATCTTGATGAGGTCCAAGACCAATTTTACCTTGAGACCAGGCAACTCAGTGTCACCCATCCAAAAAAGAAGTGAAGGTAGATGATGACCAGATCTTGTGTTACCTTGCCTGCTTAGGTTCATTCCTTCACAACCACTCTTTTATCTGAGTGAGAGTCACTGACCCTCAGTAGAGCTGGAACTCACTAGATGCTAATACAGAAGGCATTAAACTCCCATGATCCATGCAGGCCTTGGAAACCAGTGCAAAGATTTCAGGTCCTTTGCTGCATGCAGTGGATGAATGTGTAGTCCATCTACAGTAGAGACACTTATGAGCGTGTGACCCCCCCATCCTTTTTTACTCAAGCTCTACCACTGAACAACTGAACTGGAATTGTACTATCTGTATTGTCCATACCCCAGGTAAGAAAGGGGAAAGAGGAGGGTATTAGAGTAAGGAAAGAACCAAACAAGACCAGGAAGGGCAGGCCCCATGCCCAGTCTCCCTGCACCTTCATTGGTTCTCCTCACTTCCCTGACCCGTGGCCCTCGTTCTGCATACTTTTACTAACTGATGCAGCCCTCCAAGACTCTTTACATATTAGGCTCTTTTGATAGCCTGGCAGCTCTGACTCCTACTACATAGGGCCTGAGCTGCCATACACACTGGAGTATCTGACGTAGTCTGCTTTATGCCTACTTCCCAACCTCCACCTCATATTCCCCACCTTTCCCAGGCTTGGAAGAGCCAAACTGGACTGGACCCTCACTTTAAATGTCTCCTCCCCCTTGCACCAGATCAGTCTCTTCATCTCTAACCCTCAGCTTCTTCATCTGTTAAATGGGGTTAATAATATATCGTACTTGTTTTTATCTTCCTCACAGGATCACTGTGAGGGTCAAATGAGATGAGAGATATGAAAGTACTTTGTAAATGTAAAATGTTATGAAAATATGAGATTATCATTAAAAAAACTATTTATCAATTTAAATATCTGTCAGACTCTTTCTCTGTCCTGGGGATTCCTGCTCTTCTATGGGTTGGTCTAGAATAACTTTCAGATTCTATGCTTATATGAAAGGTCCAGCCCTCAGCCCTTAGACAGACCAGAGCTACACTCCTCCAGTCAAAATCACTGCCTTTTTAATTGTTTGAAGAAGACTCATACCACCTGATTCAGGGAAGGCAAATGGTGGGGGGAGCATTACCCGTTGCCCCTTTCTTCCACCCTCTCCCCAAACACACTAGTCCTCTCCAAAGTATTTTAGCCAAAAAAAACAAAACAAAACCCCAAAACAAAACAACAACAACAAAAAAGGTAACAAAGCAAACAAAATAAAACAAAAAACCCAGAACACTGACACCAACTGGCCCTGGGGCTATGGTGAATAAAGGGGTGGGGGGCAGGGAAATCCCGACCTGCTTGAGGAAGGGGTAGCAGGCCAACAGGGACCTATCCCAGCCGGTTTTACTTCTTTACCTGGCTGGAAAGTTTCGGGGAGTCTGGTGGGGGGAGGGGCGGGAGGCTGGATCTAGAGCTTCTCCTGCAAGAGGGAGGGGAGGGTGAAACTTGGGGGAGAAGGGAGTCCCGTGGTTGGGGTGTCCTCTGGCTCAGGACACCACGGGCTCTGGACAGTCACAGTTAGGCAGTCACAGTCACAGACACTCACAACCCAAGAGCACCCCCCACCCCCCCAGGTTTCCCCTAGCCCACCCCCCTCCCCAGTCCCAGCCCTCCCCCCTCCCCAGCCCCCTCTCCCAAGGGGGCACAAAGCAATAAATTACAATTTCCTCCCCAGTTCCAAGAGCCCCCATCTCATTCATCACCCCTCTCTAGCTGTTGTGGAGAGAGGAAGCCAGGCTTCTGGCTCCCCAGCCCCAGTCCATCCGTGGGTGTATGTGAGTGTGGCTGTGGGTGTGTAGGGAGGGGTCTTTATTTTAGCCTCCCCCCATTGGTCCCTTTCACGGAAAGGGTTGGGGTCCCCACCCCCATGGGTAGCCGGGGTCCTGCCCCTCGCTGCCCACTTCCCCTGTTTTTGGGCAGTGAAATCAGGTGTGGAGGGAGTGGGAGGGGCCCATGAACAAGCCTTCTATCCCCCGGAACTGCCCTCAGCTCCCATGACCAGCGCCCCCCCCCCCCAACACCTTGATACCTTCCCCTCTCCCCAGGAGCCAGCCTGGGCATTGGGCTCTGGGGGCCGAACTGTCCAACGAATGGGGGCGGGAAGGAAGCGTGAGTCATCCTGGATCTGAAGGGCAAACTTCTTTTTTCCCGCTTTCCCAGGAGCCAGCAGAGGATAGGTCCAAGAGCCCCGTGTTAAAGTAGCAAGGGTCAATCTCCCTTTCCAAACGCTTGCAGGAACGCGATGAGTTCCCGAGGTGGAGAGAGAAAAATCGGGTGTGTTCGGCTGGGGAACCGGGGCGGTTAATGCGCACAAAAGGGTCTCCATGCCTCGGCTAGGGAGAGTGCGGGAGTCTGTGTTCCTTGGAGAGGGGAAGGTTGGGAGGGAACAGGTAAGGGAAAGAGACGGTGCTGTAGGGAGTTAGGGTTCAGTGTCCGCTGTGTGTGCGTGATGGGGAACGTGCCCGTGGAGAAGGGAGGAGTGAATCTGTGTCCAACAGTCCACAAGGAGGGTGTCCGTGCCTGGTCGGTTGTGGTGGTGGCGTGGGGCGTGGGTGGGGGCTGGTAAGGTCCCTTCCCGGAGCACAGATGTTGGGGCAGGTTGTAGGGGAGTGTGAGTGTGTCTGTCCGCGTGGTGCCGCTATACCAGCGCGACCGGAGCATCGGCGCGGCCCACGCTCGCGGCGCTGCTCCTTCGGTGGGGACTGGGAGTAGTGGCCTCGCTGCCTCCTTCCCCCGGGCAGCCGTGCTGCAGCAGGATGTCCGCACAGAGCTGGCTCCCAGCTCGCCGAGCGTAGAACAATGCGGTGCGGCCCTGAGCATCCCGAGCAGATACGTCGGCGCCGTACTGAGAAGAAGAGACAGTAAGTGTTCGTTCCGTGGTCTTGGAAGAGGGGCAACAAAGCAACCACCCACAATGAAATAGAAACAATTGTGAAAACCAGGGTTAGTGTATTAGTGAAACAGATTCATTAAAAGGGGTTTCCAGATAACGAATTATGTCTCAGAGATCCTTCTCCCTCTTCCCAGCAAAGCCTAGCCTCCTTGTAGATCTCGCCCACCCCCAGTCTGGTTCTAAGGGGGACATGGAAGAGACAGACTGGAAAGCTGGACGCTGCTTCTCATTTCTGCCCTTGGTGCTGCTCCACATTCCGAGCGGTCTCCTTTGACTGTCCTCGATTATCTAAGAAGGCCTCTTGATCCTTTCCCCCTTCCACATACCCAGACTAGCAGCTGTGTGATGACCACATGGGCGAGCTCTGCCGCTAGGTGTAGCGGGGAACGGAGCTGCGGGTCTCCCACGTCGCTGTCCAGCGGCCCGTGCCGCGCGTGGGCCAGGAGCAACAGCACCCCGGCAACATCCTGAGCCTGCACTGCGGCCCAGAGGCGGCGGCCCAGGGACTCTTCCGGACCTCCCAGTGGTGCCAGGAACAGCAGTTGCTCATACTTGGCCCGGATCCACGACTCTCGCTCCTCCCTGAGAAGACGTGAAGATAGAGGGAGGTGGGGGAGAGGGAAGGGCCCTCTCCTTCCTTAGAGATTGTCTTCCCCTTCCGCAAACCAATTCATCCAGTCCCCACCGCTCCTTCCCCCTCTCTTCTCCCTGATTCCTCGCACCTGGAGGATTCCCGAGTGGGCTTGGCTCGGCCTCGAGTGTCGCTCTCCCATATGAGATTGGCCATGTCGTTGCCAATAGCCGTCAGCACCAGGGTCAGCTCCCGGGGCCAGTCATCCAAGTCCAGGGATCGAACACGCGACAGGTGAGTGCCCAAATTTCGATGGATTCCTGAGCACTCAATGCAGATTAGCGCGCCCAGGTTCAGACTTGCCCAAGTGGGGTCTGGGGGTAGGACAGACAGCATGGGTCACTTTCACACTCGCTGCTCAGAGATACCCATCCCAAACCTCCATATTTCCACCATCTGGACCTCAGTCCTTTTCTACCCCACCTCAGGAACCAAGGGATTCTCTTTCCCCTCCCTGTCCTTCCCGGAACCCTGGCCCCATTGCTCTTCAAGGTCCGTTTATCTCCCTACATAAATATACACACCGCCAGCCAAATGCCCTGTCCGAGCCACCCCGCCCCCTACCTCCACTCATCTGTTCCACCCTCACTCACTGGGAGCTCCGCAGTCCACACACAACGAGTTTCCCTTTGCGTTCCTAATCGCCTGGATGGCCACAGCCTCGCTCTGACTGTCAGTGCGTAGCTAAGGGCAAAAGGAGACCTAGGGTTAGCAGTGATCCTTGCAGGCAATCCCCTGGAAACATGGTGATGGAGGGGTTCTGTCATAGTACATATTTAGAGCTAGGCAGGACCTTCGAGGTCATTTTAGTATAGCCTCATCGTTTTACAGAAGAGGAAACTGAGATTCAAGTTTTAAGCAACATCTGAGTTGATACAACTCTAAGAGGCAAGAGTGCATGTCAGAGCCTGGATTTTCTGACCACAAATCCAAAGTTCTTTTCTCAATAGTTCTTCCTGTGAACTATGATCCTTAATCTCCCACCACAATTAAAGTACCTTTCCCCAGGCACTGACTCCTCTACTTTACCTTCCCCCTCCAGTCCTCACCTTGACCTTGCTGCTTTCACAGCATTGCAGACTGGCTAATATTTGGCTTTCAATGGCCTGAACCCAGGAGTCTCTCTCTTCGAAGCTCCCAGCTTCAAAGTGCCAGGTCTGTCCAGTGCTTGATACAATCAGGAACTCGAAGTTCTCCTCTGAGGGGAACGTGGGGGGGGGGGCAGAACAGGATAGTAGAACTCTAACACACTATTCTCCCCAAACCCTCTCCCCACCTCCCCAGACGGCCATCCCAGGGCCCCTGCAGGGTGGGGTGGGAGCAGTATGGGAGAGGGAAGAAGAATGGGGGAGCAGGAAGCCCAGGCACATGCAGGGGAAGCAGGTGCACCCCAACCCCTGCATCCCAGCTGAGTGCCCTTCCCAATTTCCCCACTTTATTACCTGCTTTATAAATATTTCTTAAACTACCAAAGGATTTTAGTTTCCACATTTTGCGCTTGGCTGGTTTCCCGAAGCGAAGGAGACAGACGAGAAATAGAGAAAGAAGAGATAGAGAAAAGGAGACAGATGATGGAGAACAGGGGGAAAAGGGGATGGGAGGAGAGACAGAGAGAAATACAGAGAAGTGGAGACACACAGAGAGACACAGATACACACAGAGAGAATAAGAGTAGCAAAGAGTAGGAGGAGAGGAAAGGAGGGGAGAGGAGAGCAGAAGAGAGAAGAGGAGAGGGTAACAAGGGCAGTAGGAAAAATAGAGACAGACAGAGGGAGAGAAAGCAGAACTAAAGGTCAGTGGCCCCAGAGCAGAGTGGAGCAGAAGCAGAGAGCAGTGAAAGTAGGGAGATCTGGAATCCAGGCCCTGAGCAACAGGGGCTAAGAGCAAGGTGTGTGTGGGGGAGTATGAGGCGATGAATTGAGAGGAGCAGATATTTAGGGGAGCAGGAAGGAAGGTTTTAGATCTCGGTGAGTTTTGGGAAGAGAGGGACTGAGGTTGGAGGGCTGGGGAGAGAAAGATGGGGGTCATTTGGAAAGAAAGGGGCAGGAGCTGTGGGTTCACTAGGGAGAAGGGACTGGGGGATGCCCATTTTTCTTTTAATCAAAATGTTCATAGTAGATATAAAAATATGCAAAAGAGAACAAAGGTTAGGCACTTTTTCTGCACCACCCCAGGAACTCCAGTCAGGGTTTCAGGTGGGGGGTAAAAAATAGGGCTGCATTGCCATGGCCTCACCTTCAGCCTGCCCAGCAGAGCCTTCTGTCTTTGATGGTGTGGTCAATTTTTTCCTCCTCTGTTTCTTCACCATGGGAGAAGGAGGAGGTTCCCTGCTCAGGGGGCTTAAGTCTCCAGATGGTGTACAGTCTTTGGGAGGATGCATAGTTGACTCAGTTTCCCCGGAATCAGTTTTGCCCTCTCACTAATGAAAAGAAATCCTTTTCCCTAGGGGGATTCCCTCCTCCTCCTTATCTCTTCTTTTCCTCAGATAAATATGTTTCTCTATCTATCTGTCTTCCTCTCTCTTCTCAAGGATCCTCCACTACCCCAACCTCCATTTCCACACCCATTTTGTCCAGAAATGAGCATTTAGTTTTGAGAAGAGGCAAGACTAACCAGTACTGAGGGCTCGAGCCAGGTTTCGGTCTGGCTTCAGTAGATGCTTTGATGTTTGGTCCTGGGGTGGCTGCAGGGAACTGGGGCTGGGAGTAGGGGTGGGAGTGGGAATGTCTGCTAATGGAAGAGGATGGGAGGAAAGAAAGGGGTATTTTCAATAAGATTCCTTCATCCTTCTGCTCCCCCATCTCTTGCTTTTACCACGTCTCCTCATCCCTCCCCTGCCATTATCTCCACATTCACCTGCCCCCTGCTCCCATTGCTTCATTTATCTCTCACTCCTCCCCTACCTTGTCTCCTTGCTGACAAATTCCAATGATCTCCCCTTGCCCCTTTCCCCCTGACCCTACCCCCTCACCAGTGCCTTCAGTCATCTGGACAGTGCTCATATCCTTGACAAGCCCGTTGATGCTGGCAGAGGGGCCAAAGGCTGAGATGGCCCGAGGAGGTCGCTTGCCTGGTACCTTTACTGTTGTCCGAAGCAAATCCATCTCCTTTCCATGAGTGCTGTGGATGTAATCCTGAGAGACAAAAGGATTCCCACATGGTTAGGGGTAAGAGAAAATATCTGCATCACTGTAAATCTTCGGGTTTCTGGAAAGCATCTAAATAATGATAATCTGACATTTAACTAGCACTTGAAAGGTTGAAAATCATTTTATATACATTATTTCATTTGATTCTCCCCAAACCCCACAAAGCATAGATACTACAAGCATCCTGTTTTATGAATAGAGAAACTAAAGCTCACAGTTGAAGTGACCTCCCATAAATGATAATGTCTGAGATGGGATTTGAAGCCAGATTTTCCCTGACTCCAAGTCCCCAGTTCTTTCCATTAAACACTAGCACTTCTATAATACACAGTGGAGATTCCTTGGGGGATGGAGCAGCAGGGGCTAAGGAAAACCATGGGGTCTGGAGAGGGGAGATTTTCCAGAAGGAGGTAACTAGCAATTGACTGGGATTATCCAGGTGATTCTTAGGAATTGTGAGGGAGGAATCATCACTTCAGAGTTGGGGGGGCACTCACATTAATGCTGGGGTGGTATAGTAGGAATCCATTGCTTGATAGTGTCACATATTTCTTCTTCCATTCCTTGTTCAGGGAATTTCCACTTCGTTTCAGCAGGAAACTCTGGGGTGGGGATGAAGATGGATGGAGGAAAAGTTAAGGCGCAACCTAGTGTGGGCAAGGTGTTTCCCCCTACCCCCAGTCACAGGATCCTTCCTAAACTGCCCACCTGCTTGATCGGGATTGCCCTGCCACTTCCTGCTGTCTCCCCTCGGCTGTCCAGGCTCCGCTTTTCAGAGTCACTGCCCCTGCGATTCTGGAATAGTTTACTGTTATTTGACAGAGTAGATTGGGGACAAAGTGGAAGGTATCAGGAGGACAGAAGAGGAAGGGATGAAGGGATGAAGGGAGTGAGTGAACTGAGAAAGAGAGGTCAAAAAGACAGAGCTGGTGGAACAGGGAAGGGAGACACTAATGGTGTGGTTGTTAGTGTAGGGAAGGTGAGGAGATCAGTGTATGCGCTACCGCAAAAAGACTTGTTCGACGTTTGGCTGCTCGGTGCAAAGAACCTGGCGTGCTCAGGCCAGCCACAGAAGCTGCCTCAGCCCGTAGCTCCCGATGACCAACATTGGGTGAGGAAGGAAGGGATGATGAGTAGTCACTGGTATGCCCCCCATTACTGGCCTGGGGAGAAGATATTTGAATCAAAAGAAGAGTATCTAGAATTCCCTCAAACTCATATACAAGTAGAAATGGGAAACTGATCCTGGGCATTTTACCTGGGGAATCAGGGACATTACTAGAGTCAACATCACTTCCACCCCTTCCTCACCATTTCTGAAGTCTTACCCCTTACCTATCCTCCAGCATCTCTATCCTTAAACCTAACCCAATATTTCACAGCTTCTCTACTCCTGTCCTCCCTCACTTTCCCCAACCAGCTTCTCTTACCTGCCCTGCCACAGGGGTGGAGGCAGCTGAGTGGCTGGGGGAGCTGGGCAGGGACTTACAGGCAGCCAGGAGCTGCTGTTGTTTTCGCAAGGTCACAACCTTCTGGGCCACTGTAGGAGGTAGGGGAAAAGCATTACAGGGACTGACACTTCCTCTCACTTATCTACAGTGCCTCCTCACATTACCTCTCTCTCTCTCTTTCACACACACACACACACAGACACACACACACACACACACACACACACACACAAAACCCCTTGGACCTGGAAAAACAAACAAACCCATACTGATGTCCCAACTCTCCATGCATCAACACACACTCTATCCCTGTACTCATTTTAGCCCCATCAATTTCCCCAAGCCCCCTTTGCCCTTCTACATTAACCTAGAGCCTTTCTTGGTCTTCTTCATTCCCTTCAAACTCTCTTTTTCATCGTCACTCACATCTTCACTCTTTCCTCACTTCCACATCTTCAAGGATCTTATCCATACCTCATTCCACCCCCCAAGGTACACATGCATCTCTCTCACCCTCCTGGAAGACCCTGTCCACATTGAGCCCATAGGTGGCACAGGTCTCATAGTAGCTGCATCGCTTCATTTCCCCACATAGAGCTCTGGCACGAGCATCCCCCACAACCCGGGGGGAGGAAGCACTAATCCTGTCTGGTGGGGAGAGAAAGGTGAATGAGCAAAGAAATACATTCCCACTTTCACTCTGCCCTTACAGGAAACATCCTGTCCACTAAAGGCTAGGGAACCGAAATGGGGAACTTATTCAGAGAATCCTGCTCTGGCTCTCACTTTCACAGAATCACCAAATCTTAGAGTCAGAAAGGACCTAAAGTCACGTGGTCTCACATTGACTTGAACAGAAATCCCCTCTCCAGTGGTCCCAACAAGTGGTCCTCCAGCCTTCCACTTTAATGATGGTGAACCCACTGACTCCCAAGGCAGCTCATTTCCTATTTGGACGGCTCTGAATATTAGGAAGTTTTTCTTTCTATTGAGCTGAATTCTGCCTTCCAGCTACTTTCTCTCATTGCTCCGAGTTCTGTCCTCTGGAGCCAAGCAGAGTGAACTTAATATTTCTTCTACATGACAGCCCTTTAAATACTTGAAGACATCATGTTTTTCCTGTTTTCTCTTTTGGCTACATATCTCTACATCGAACAGCTACTTGGGATTCCTCTGTTCCTCCCCTCCAGGTGTGCCCTTTCCCCAGCATCTCCTTACCTTGTGTCCCCACCAGTGCTAGGGCAAGGCCCCCCCTGCTCTCCCCACGAAGGGAGTTTAGCTGCACATGGAGACGACTCACAGCCTGGAAACTGTTCTCATCCTCCAGGCTGAAGACAAAAATGACAGCATCTGCCCAGCCTGAGAACTAGATGAGGAGAGACAAATGTGGGATCAGACAGAAAGAGGAATCCTTCCTTATACTGTCACAACTCTACCAAGTGTGAGAACCAGGAAGGGATGCAGCAAGAAAAAGATGATTCCTCCCCTCCGGTCCCACCAACTTTGCTTCCCCAGAAGTCTGACCACCACCCAGTCTCCTTTCTGCTTTCCCTTCCCCATTCACCTTGGCATCTGGTGTCTCTGCTTCCTCTCGGATCAGCAGTAGGTGACTTTGTCCATCTACCAACATCTCCTTCTTATGCTGCTCACCTGTCCAAGAGTATTAGGGGGAAAAGGGTTGTAGCACACACACACACACACACACACACACACACACACACACACACTCCACATATTGTATATACAGGGAGGTCCCATAGTTTGGTCATTGATTCAGAGATTTATTGACTCCCTTCCCCCACCCAATCCCTTTCAATTCCCAAGGACTCACTCTCTGTCTTCTCTAGCACCTGGTAAGAACCAGTCAGGAATCTGTGAATGAGAGATGACTTCCCACTCCGGGCATCACCCAGTACACCCTGTGAACAAGAGAGTGATATGAAGTCACTGGTAGAACAAAGACCAAGGGGATTAAGAAGATCTGGATCTGGAATGATGGGGGAATGTCACCCTCATGGAATCTGAAATGATTGGCAGTGGCCAATTGTCCAAGAAGGGATAATGTGGAGACTGGATAAGAGCCTGGGGGAAGGCATAGGGAGAACTAAGAGAGCAACATGGTGTAGTGGAAGGACTGGACTTGGAGTCAAAAGGCCTGAGTGTGAGTCCTGACTCCACTTGGTAGCTATATGACCTTGGGCAAAATTCTTCATTTCTCTGGACCTCAGTTTCCTCATCTGTAGAATGAATTTATTGGACTAGCTTATGTCTAAGCTCCCTTCCAACTTTAATGTGGCATGATTCTATAGTAGAGTGTTGTAGAGGGGACTCCTATTCAGATATAGGCTGAACTAGATAAGATCCCTTCCAACTCTGAGATTCTGTGATTCTAATAGCAGAAAATTATCCAAGGATCAAAGTGGACCTCACATAAAGAAACATCAACAAAATAGAGTCTCCTATTCTTTCAAGGAAGATAAGCACTCTCAAACCAGTTAGAATGTTGTTTCAAGTTTCAGGTTCTGGACTATAGAAGACCTTATTTAAGGAAAAGGTGGGAGAAGATATTAAAATGAGGAGAGGCCTGGAGGTGGGAGGAGAAAAGCATAGGAAGAATAAGAAGAGAAACTGGATGGGGACTACTGGGCAGGACAAGAAAAAGATGAGGTGATAGGGAATGACAGAATATAGGACTATGAAGGGAATATTCTGAAGGATCACAAGCCACCATTCCTCATCTTCATAGAAAGAGAGGAGAGGGGTTAGCAGAGAATATAATGGGAGAGAGAGTAAAACTTGGAAGGGACTTTCCTACTGTCAAGGATTCTGGCTCACATACCAAACGCAGTTCAGGGATGGATCGGCTCAAAGTCCATTCTTGGCTATTGACCACAGCTTCTGAAAGAAGACAGAGGATGGGAGAAGTTTAGATCTGGCCTTCCAGACCTGATGGAAAAAGCCCACGTGAAAATGAAAGAGCGAGCATTTCAGCAAAATACACACACACACACACACACAAAAGCAAACTCCCATACCTTTCTGCCTTCCCACTCCTCCTCCAGCCCCCTCCCCTTACAGATGGGTCACTTCCCTTGAGTTGAAAAAGCTAGGGAATGAGATGCTAAGACAGAGGTCCACACTCCACCCCCATCAAGCTTGCTTTCCCCACAGCTGTTGCTGCCGCTCAGAGGTTGCTTAGCAACAGAACCAGAGAGACAAAAATACTTCACATTGGCATCTCCCTTAAAGCACATCCTCAACTGTGTGTCCCCCCACATCCCAGCCCAGAAGAACTGGTGTCTGCCAAGATCGGGATAGCCCCTTCTCTAAGAGGAGGGCCAGGAGTGTCCAGCAGGTTTACAATGTGAGGGGGTGGGGTTGCTTCCCAGGGGAAACAGAGCCTGAGGCTAGGTGCAGGGATTGAGTAGAAGATGGAAGCCAAGGAGGAAAGGAAGAACCTCTCAACCTTCATTTCCTAGAGAAGAGAAACTGAGGCTTGCAATGGTGGTGATAAGGATGTCTAGAATTCCTCCCCCTTTCAAGGTCACACACACAGGTCAGACCCCAGGTAGTAGATTCCTGCCACACTCCTCAAACTTAACTGAAAGGAAAGAACCAAGGCCCTTTAAAAATTCATCCACTTTTTCATCCCTCTAGGGTTTGGCCAGATCAGAACCTCAGTAGCAAATTGGAGAGAGGAAGTTCAGGGGGTGCAGGGAGCATCTCCCTCCTAAAATGTGCCCTCTTCTTCATCCCTCTAGGGTTTGGCCAGGTCATAAACCCAATAACAAATTGGGGAAGGGAAGTTCAGGCAGAACAGGGAGCATTGACCCTTTCCAGTTGTGAGCTATGGCAAGATGCTGCTGTAGGAAGAAGGTTTGGGGAAGCTTCTTCCATCCCTATCCCCCCAGATCCCGTGCTCCTGCCTAGTTCCAGTCAGCCTGGTCCCCTGTGTCTGACAGCCTGACACTGGAGGCCTGGACGTTCCCAGGGTGGGGCAGCTGCAGTGGGAGCAAGCGGATCTGAAGCCATCTGCTCCTGACAGCTCCGGAGCCAAACTTTGGGCCACCACCCCCGCTCCCCAACAGCCTCCCAGGAGAGGGAACAGACCAACTCCACGCCTCCCCTACATCTCATGTCCAATAAAGCCAAAGCTAAAAACACAACAAATACAACCAGAGCATGAACTTCTGTGCAGTTCTCCATCACTCCTGACTCACTGAGTCAGGACCCCAGCTGATCTGAACTTGATTCTGTGTGGGAGGGGGAGGGTAAGTGGGAAGTGAAGCTCTCCCCTATCACAACCCACCCCCATCTCCAGCTCTGCAGTTAAATATCCAGTAGTTCCAGCCCACACACTTCCCCTCCACTCCTGCTTCTGCTTCCAGGACGTTGAGCAAAAGACAAAATCCCTGCCATCTCACTGGCCTGCTGCCCTCCCCAGAAGGGCCCGCACAGGCGAGTAGTTGCCTGCAAACTAGTGGTGGAGCCTGTTGCCACCAAGTGCACAGGATCACAGACCTCCTCTCAGTTCTCCTCTTCCTCATCTTCCACCAAATTCCTTTTGGGGGTTAAAAAAAATAACACATGTGGTTCCATTTCTCTGACCTAAGTACCAGGCAAAAGCTGGAATTAGGGATGCCTGGCTTCCTGGGGGAATCTGCAAATGACTGCTAATTCTCACCCTGACCAAGGACACATTTTGCCAGCAGGCTTGATTCACTCTAGCTGGGACCTATAGCCAGACACAGAAGCTAGCCACTCCCCCTTAATCAAGCTCCCTCTCCCATTTCCCCTAGTCTTCAAAGGACACCCAGTGAGTCCTGTTGCATCCCTCCGCATATGGTCAAACACTGAGAGGTCATCAAGCAGTAAGCAGGAGCCCAATCCACTCTCTTTCTTTCAGGCCTGCACTCCTATTCTAGCTTGTCTTACAGGTTGTGCTGGTGAGTTAGAATAATAATAATAACTGACATTTATATGAGTCTTTTAGGCTTACAAAGCTTTTGCACTGAGGTCCTAGCCGTGACACCCTTCAGGCCCTACGGTTCAATTCTCCCCCTCCCCCTTCCGCTTTCCTTGGCCTTACTCACTCGGGGAGGCACGAAGCTCTACAGCCAGCAGCTCACGGGACCCACTGCTGGAGGTGAGGCCTGGGGGTCCAGGAGATGGCCCTGGACCTGGGGGTCCCCCGGTACTCTTGGTGAAGATGCCACTGATGAATTTGAGCATCTTACGGTCGCGGGTGGAGGCACGACCCCCCTCCCGGCCCCGTTTAAGCCCAGGAGCAGGCGGCTCCAGAGTGATAGGAGGTGCAGGCCCTGGGGGAAACCCAGGGGAGGTGGAGGAGGCTGCTGGAGAGGCGGCTGGAGTTGCCGGGGCCGCTTGAGGAGGAGGAGAGCCAGCGGGTTGCCCAGGGTGCAAGTCACTGTTGTCCAGCGTCTTACTCTTGCCTTTTCGTGGGGACAACTTTCCTCGGGCTCCAGCACCCTGTCCGGCTGCAGCACCTGCTCCGACACCAGACCCAACTCCGGCTGGGGCTCCAGCCCCAGCAGTGCTCTTTGACCCCTTGACCCGCGGCTTGCCCTCGCTCTCTGGCCATGACAGGCGACTCCCTGCGGTCTTTCCCCCTCCGGCTTTGCCCCCACTCGTGGTTACCGTCTTGCAAGGCTTGGGGGCAGGTGGGGGGGGCGCCACCTTGAGTCGACGGTTGCCGGTGCCGGGGTGGGGGGAAGAGGAGCCTGGGACGCACCCCCCACCCCGGCTCTCTGGCTCCGGTCCCCCCCAGCTTGGGCTGCTGAGTAGTGGGCGTCGGGAAGAAGTGGAGCCCCCTCCAGGTTTGGGGTCCGGGCTCAGTCCCCCGGAGAGCGGGGGTACAGGGGGGGCGGCCCAAAGGGAGAGGCGGCGACCCGGAGCAGGAGAGACCGGACAGGCCGGGCTAGCTGGAGCAGGGGACAGGGAAAGGGTCTCTGTCCCTGCCCCCGCGCTACTGGTGCTGATCCACAGTGCATCTTGCCGGTGGAAGAGACGTTCCTGCCGCTTCTTGCCGACCTCATCTGCGCCCCGAGGGCTTCCAGGTTCTCCTCCCTCTGGTACCCTGACTATCGGGGCTCCAGCCCCTGATGGTGAGGGAGGCGGTGGAGGCACAGACTCAAGCTTGACCAGGGTCAGCGAGATGAGGTAGGTCGTTGTCCGGCGCTGAAGCGCGCCCGCACCCCGGCTCATGGGGCCCCAAAACCCCCGGGCTGGGGTGGGGAGGGGGCTTCCCCCAAATTGGCTCAGGGAGGCCCGGCCATGGGGTAGCTCTCCGTGCTTGTCGCTGGACTCAGTCCCCTGCTCAACCCCCGCCCAGGCTCCTAGGTCCCCGCCGCCTCCGCCTATTCCGAGAGCGCCCCCCTCCCATCACACAGGGCTCCTCCTCTCCATGCCCCCCACCCTGCACCCCCAACCCTTTCCGAGGCCCGGGACCTTTAGTGCAGCTCTCAGGAGGCGAGGGCGTAACCTCACATCCCCCAACCCGTGAGGAGAAGCAGAGATGGGGTCTTGAAGGGGGAGAGAATAGGAGGGGGTAGACAGGGCAAATAGACGATGTGGGGGAATCAGGAATGCCAGGGAAGGGGGGGAGGCCGAAGAGATGGAGTGCGGGGGCGATGAGGTTTGGCGGGTTGGGGGTGTGCTTAGGGGAAGAAGGGTGGAGGATGGAGAGCAGGGGAGAGGGACTGGGGGTGGGGTCCAGAGGAAGGGGATGCAAGGGGTGAGGGAAATGCGGAGGATACGCGGGGGCGCAGGGAGGATAGGATGCAGGATGGAGATGTAATGAGAAGGCGGGGGGGGGGGAGGATGCAGAAGGATGCAGGAGGATGATGGGGGCCGGAGGGTCTGGGAGAGGGAGGGGCTTGGGGTCTAGGCGAGGGTCCGGGGGTTCGCGGGGGTTCACCGGGATTCGGCTCGGTCCGGCTGCGCGATGTATCCGGGTGCTCCCCTCACACTGAGGAGGAGGCGGCCCCCTGCCGCCCCCCCCTCCCAACTAAATCTCCCCCCCACCTCCCCACCACACACACATACACACACACCAGCCCGGCTGTCTAAATGGACGATGCGAAATCCAGAACTGGATTTCCCTCCTAAATCCCGGACTGGATTTCCTTCCCAAATCCCGGACTGGATTTAAGTAGACTAAGTCATTGACCCCCGCTTTTCCCCTTCCCCAGAGCAGCTGGACGTGGTGAAAGGGGTTCACGAATGTAGGTGGAAGAGCATTAACTACAAGCGGGAGAAGCTGCGGGGTTTCTTTGAAGAAAGAAGTTCGGAAGCCTTTCGACCCTGCTCTCCTAAGAGACCCTCACCTCGAGCCGAACTAGGACTTGGGCTATCCTCTCACTGAAGCGGGTGCATGGATTCCCTACGCTGAGCCCCTCATTCCCTTTCACCCCTGCGAAGTAGGCTACGACTGCCCAATGCCAAATCTATCCTGGAGGGATGTTGGCATTCCAAATTCCCCGCTCCCCCGAGGAGACTAAACGGGGCACCAAGTTGTTTGGCGGAACGTAGGGGGCGGCGGTGAGGGGACACCAGGACGCCAGTGAATCAAAGACTCTCGGACGGAGAGGAGGGTGTAAATCTGTGGCTTTACACCCCTCCACTCTCGCAAAAATGCATCCTGTATCCATGGCAACCATGGCTCCGAAAGTACCCGGGAAACAGCGGGAATAATGAGAGAAGAGGGATCAGTGGACGGCAGGGGCGCCGAAGGGGACCTCTGGAGAAAGGAAAAGAACGGTGTGTTGAGGAAAAAGTTGGGGTGAGGGAAGCCCCAGCTAGGTACTGCTGCCCAACAATGTGGGAGTGACGCCGGTGTGTCTGTCCGGCAGATGGCGGTTCACTGAGAGAATGGAAGCTGAGAACTCCCAGGTTCCCATTTTCCTTAGGCTTGTTGCCTTTTTTGAAAGGGCAGTCGAATGGGGGTAGGATTGGGCGAGGCTCTATAAATCTCCTGGTACCCTAAATCAGGGGATTCATATCCTTTTTAGAAAAGGGATACAGGTGGGTAACCCCGGCGTCCCTTTATAGGGTCGGCGTCTCGGAATAAGGGGGAAAGGCACTGGCCCTGGGGCGAGGTGGAGCAGGGACTGGACGGAGCCTCTCCAGACCCCTCCTCCGAACCTTGGGAACCAAACATTCTCCCCATCTTCCTTTCCTTTCTCTCCCTCCCCCTGACGCAGCCTGGGCTATAATAAGAGTTGCCGTGGGCGGCTCTTGGAGGCAGGAGCCGCCGGGGAGCGAGGCCCGGGTTGGGAATTAAACAGGGACCAGGCTGGGGAGGGTGGGAGAATTTGTTCTCTGAGCTGCTCTTGTACCCGACCTCCCTCAGCGCCCAACCTAGGGGTCGGCTCCCCGCATTTTTACAAAAGGACTCGGAGAAGCCGAGATGTCGCCCTCTCCTGGACACGGGCGCCTGAACACCTGGGTCTTTCTGTAGTTATGTCTGTAGAGAATGGGGGTAGGAGAGTTGTCACCTCTGTTCTGTTTTCCTATTCCTGGACCTCAGTTTCTCCTTCTGTATAATAGGTACAACTATCTCTGAGGGACTGTCATACCCTAGCTCTTGAGGTCGCCCGGGAATTTCAGAGAAGGGAGCCTCCACAGAGATGCCTTTCCTTCTTTCGAGCAGAGCCTGTGTATTATCATAACAACACACTCAAAACCCCTCCCTTCTCTGCTGAAGGAGGCAGAGCTTAATGTCCTGACTAGGCATACCAGTCCTCACCAGACAGGGTGTCCAGAATGTCCCTGGGGGATATACCTACTCTCATAGCTCTAACCTGAAGCTCTGAGCCTGTCACTGGAATGCAGCAACTGTGGCCCCATGGTAATGTGGAGGGTAGAGGGGAAATATGGGTAGTATCCTCACCACTCAGGGGCCAGCAGAGACAGTAAAAGAATCGAAAAACCAATCACTCAGTGAGAAATGTGTGGGTGGTAGATTTTCCTCTTACTGTTTCCCCATTTTCTATAAATTAAGCTCCAGAAAGATGATCTTGGGGAAAAGATTCTGAGTAGAGTAGCCCTAATCTCCTTTAAACACACCAGAAAACTCTATTGGAAGACAGTTGAGAGTAGGAAAAAATGACGTAAATTGGAGGTGGGGTGAAACTTATGCTGGTTTCCACTTTACTTCCCTCTTTATCCTGCCCCTACCCCCATCCTAGACTAAACTTGGACTGTTCTTGGTTAGTTCTTTGATACTTCAAATGTGGAGGTTGGAGATTTTTGAGCCCAAAGGGCCAGACTCTGTTGATGGAAGTAATGTGGAGGTGTGGAGGTGATTTGCTACTGCCTAAGTCTTTCTCCCATCCTAGGCCCTCACCACAGGATTTGGGGGTGAAAAGGGGCAGAAGGATGTGGCAGATGGTGTTGCTATGGCAACACTTCCTCCCTGTGTTGTCATTGCTTGCTGTAATAGTGCTAATGAGCTGGAGCGGAAGCAGGGGTGGGGAGACAGGAACAAGAGAATATTGAGGAAAAGTGACAGAAGACAAGAAGGGGGGGGTCTCTAGATTGGTGAGCATATATGTCTTCTGAATATCTGAGACTCTGTGTATATCACTGTCTAAATATGCCATAATATGCATGTCTAAGAATGTGTGTGTACATGTACACATATATTTGTCTCCCTGGCCATGGTTCAGCAGGTGGGTACTGGGAATGAATTTGGGAATCAAATGATCTTACCCCAGAAGTCCTCTCACCACAAGCTTCTTCCTGTCCCTGTCTCTCTAGGTAAGGGATTGGGTCACTCACAGCTACACTTCCCCCCAGCAGCAGCAACTGTCTGGGTTTTCTCACTGCTGAAAGTCGCCTCATTAGTGACCTCTTATTGGAGCTAGTGACAGAAAGACAAGTTGGGGCTTCTTCCAACCTCACTCCACTCCCAACCTTAATAGGATTCCTTTCCCCAGAGGCCCTTTTTGTGCTAGGAGATAAGGAAGTGATTAACTCACCCGTGAAACCTGAATAGGTCAAAGCCCCCCTCCTCAGATCCTCAAATACCCTCAGGTTGGGCACCAGGTCTACTCTCACCTCTAAGATTATCCAGTGAGGTCTTGATATCTTCCCGTAGCTGTGGCTCATTCACCTTCTCTGCCAACTTTCTGAGCAGGTTCAGGTGCCGCTTGGCAACCTCATGCCGTCTGACTTCTGCCTTTACTGCAGCTGTGGCCAACTGCCTCTGGGCATGCATCTCTGGCCAGGCTAGCAGCTCCCTTTGGCCCCCTGACCCATGCCCACCATTACCAACCCAAGAAGCAGCCGTGTGCCTGGCTTCCACCCGCCCTTCCGTTTGTCTGTCAGTCTCACTTCCTGACTGTCGTGCTTCAAACCCACAGTCTGAGACAGCACTAACTGCTGCACCTCCCTCACACCCCCTCTAGTGTTGTCATGTAGGCCACCAAGCAGCCCTGGACAGGATTCCCCAACCAGGTGAAGGGAGACGCCTTAATGCTGAAAGCCAATGCCTAGTGTAGAAGGTGTTGGTTATGGGAAAGCAGGGCAGGAATTATCATGGGTGTAGTCTGGAACAGCTGGTGTCTTCAACCACTAACTAACAAGCCTTCTACATTGAATCTTTCACACTTACAGCCTTGCATATCAGCTTACAGCTTTACACATTCAGTTTCAACATAATGAATACATTCATTCAGAAACTTGCATACACACTCATAACCTTTCATATTAGCAACCTTGCATACTTAGTCTGTACACAATCTGGCCCTGCTCTTCCCACCATGGCCATTCCAATCCCTCTCTCCCCACCTCCTTTTCTTCCTTCTTTCCTTCCCAGATGGAGCATATTCTGGAAAGAGAACAACTAAGAAGGCTGAGAATAGTTAAAGATTCTGTGAGTCTAGGGGACTCGGGAGTTGATGGTGGAAATGATTTGAAACAGAACAGACCAGAGTTAGGCCTAATAGACCATGATCCTAGCAGGACCAAGCCCATTCTGCTCATTTGCATATGTCTCTCTACCTAATGTGCACATTTCTCAAGTCATTCCAACATTTACCGGATCTTTATTTTCTATCCTTCCCCTATTCTGTCACCCTAGGTCTCAAACAATGCCCCCTCCCCCAAACATTTCCTCTACTCTAACTCCAAGTGTGAGAAGGAGTTACACAGAAGTGTGTGAAGGATAGGCTAAAAAAGGAGTTAATTAGAAGCACTTTCTA